AAATTTTATGTTGTCATATGTTTATTCTTGTAAAATAGCCCTTATTTCTGGAAGGATTTCAAGAGAAGAGAAAAAATTTTATACAAAATCCTGAAGAGCAGAAGATTTTGTGGGGGACTTCAATCTATTTATCTTGTTGTAAGTTACTGAAGTGTTCTATGCTCTTGTGAATCCCACATGACTGTGCAAACCATGAAAACTTAGCATATCATTATTCAACAAAGCACTCCAGGTTTTCACTGGGAGTCCTATGTAGACTTAAACACTAGACTTTCCAACTCCCTACACAAAGTTGCAACAACTTGGATTGATGTAGGGACTCAGCATTTTGCTCCATGAGACGAAAAGCACTTCTAATTAAAAGGAAATATGGATTAGCTTGGGAATTGTTTCAGTGAAAATGTCAGAGAATCTGTTGAAGAAACAATGGGAGATGAAGAACTGGCCAAGTTGGAATATCAATAAAGTTACCTTTCATCTGGTATTTCTTCAAAAGGAAATATGGATTAGCTTGGGAATTGTTTCAGTGAAAATGTCAGAGAATCTGTTGAAGAAACAATGGGAGATGAAGAACTGGCCATTGTTTATTGATATTGGAATATCAATAAAGTTACCTTTTATCTGGTATTTCTTAAAAACTAACTGCTGCCTAAACACACTGACTTTGGCCTTCACTCCAGATGTGAAAGGAGCTTGCCTACCTCTTCTTCCTAACAGAAGGAGACATAATGGTCACAGATGCAACAGCCAGGGAACTAAGCATGCACTGACAAGTCTGTAACTCTGACCTAGTCATCCTCATGGAAGGGGAGAAGTCCCCAGCTACACAGAAAGGCCTGCTGATCTTTGGAATTTGAAACAGATCAAGTGGAACCCAATGGCATCCCCAAACCTGTTTTTTCCACTGTCTTGGAATGGTGCTTGGCAAATTCACCCCTTTTTTTGTTGTCCTGTTGAAAAAAAAAGGCCAATGGAACAATCTTATTTTATCAGCTTTCTCCTGTGATCTTATTCTTTGTGGTATCCACTGAATCAAAAGGGTCCTCAATAAGGTGAGTTTTGCTCAGATTAAAGAAGGATTTGGCTGCAAGCTTGATTTACAGTAATTAAAGGAAAAACAAGTTGGACAGGATGCTGAAGAGAAAATTGAGGCCTGGTAATACATGCAAACAGGGAGAAGCTGTTGTTGTTGTTGTTCATCTTTGCACTTTGTTTTCCAGCAGCATGAGCTGAAGTGTTTCAAACAGGAACTAAAAGTAATCTATTGGAAGGATTAGATGGATAGATATCCATTGTTGAAGTAATTTTTTTTTCTCTCCTAAAACGGAAAATCTTTTTGGAAAACATTCGCATCTTGTTTCCCCCTTTCCTTTCAGATATATGAAGCATCCTGTATGGAATGCTGCTTGATGTCCAGGATGCTTGGTTGCTCCACCTGTTTTGAAGGCAGGTAGAATAGCATGCTCCAAATACAAAACTGGCTGGTCTCGGGCAAGCGGAAGTTAAAACAGCACTGCTGTACAAGTAACCTATGTTAACCTTTAAAATAAAAGGCTGGCCTGCTTTTCCCTCAAGTCCCCGAGGGGCAGTGCTGTAACAGCCAAACAAGGCAAGCTCCATTCATGGCTGGACCATCCATTCCTCTGTTGGACCACCAGGAAGCAGCTGAAAGGGACTGCTGAATCCAGCCCTTGGAAGCTATTGATCACTTGGCCACACAGGGCTCTGAAACACCATACTTGAAAAAACAAAATTTAAAGACAGGGTTCAAGAGAGCTGGTTTGCTCTCAGCATTTGTGTGCAAACTATTTATTACCAGGCCACATCTACTGAGCTATTTTGCATAATAAACCTCTAAAGGTCTAACCTGACTCCACTGCTGTGGAGGATTAGACATGGTAATATCTCTCTACAGCCACTTCAGAGGATTAGCTTCAAAAATCAAATTAAAATGAAGCAAACACAAATAGTTCCACAATAAGTTGCAACACCCTTATTCACTAACCATCATCTGCACCTCTTGCATTTTATATTACCGTATGAGGAATTTATGCAAAAGAATATACATGCTGTGTGTGGTAAAACTGAAAAACTCGGCATGGGCACATCAGCATATTCAGTTGTGAGGTCTTTCTTGCCCAAACATTCCTAGTGAAGTAAAAAAAATTATTTGGTTTTATTTATTTCCAAATACTGAGGAGAAAATACATGTTTTTTACATCACAATTTGAGGAAAAGGAGGTGAGAATGGAATGTATAATGTTCTCCAAGCAGAACTGTGTGCTGTGACTTGCAGAACTGGTCACAGAACTGTGACTGCATGTCTTGTTTTTCATTCCTACACAAGCCATAATTTTTTATTGTTTTTCTCAAAGGTCAGTATTTAAATGTTTAAATGCGGGCAGATTTGTTTTTTAAAAATGACCAGCACAGTGCAATGAAGTGTTTGCCTAAACAAGTATAGCAAACTAAAATTTGCAAATCTGTTTCTGAGCAATGGCTATAAACAAGAGCTATCCAATAAATTTTAAATTCTCTTTGGGGTCAAATGCTAATAGACATATTGAATTTAATACGTTACAAAACTTGATTTACCAGATTAACAATTCCAGTTGTCTTAAATTAGCAGGGCAAATTACACACTGGCAACAGTATGTTTGTGCTGTTCTTAATTTCTTTCATTATACAGAAAATGTGAATCACAAGACTGATCAAAAATGTTAATATAAAGTCATATTAGAGGTCATTAATCTCAAATAATAATTACAAAATGTAGAACTGGAATACTGCCAAGTATGTAAATCTCCTGAGATGACAAACCATAATGAAGCTCAGAAAGTTTGTGAGCAATTTACAAGGCAGAGGATCATGCCTGTGGTACAAAGATAGACACGCTGGTGATTTGGAGCAGTTTAATAGCACCCGTAATCCAAAGCTGGAACAGCAAGGTGTTCTTCAGCAATATTCTTGACTGAGATGATAAGAATGAAAATCAAATAGTTTGTAATTACACTTCCTGAACATGCTGTTCAGTACAATTAAAAGACTAAGCAGAAAATGAAGCCTACATAAGGAAGTTTCTAGGATTGGCTTAGGAGATCATAATAAGATAACTGGACTTTACAAGTACAAGGCATTGTTTACTATTTCGCTTCTAAATATCTGTATTAAAGAACCATGGCAGTCCTGCTACTGTGCTATTTTTAAAAGTAATAAAAAACCCCCACTGCTCTCCTAGTTCACTGCTGCCTATTGCCAAGCTTCATACTGAAAATGTTGTTACACAGTAAGCTTTTCTGAATATTCTGCCTTCTCCAGACCAAGAATAATTAGTATCCTAGACAGCAAGACAACTAACACTATAGCATTATAAAGAATACAAACTGAGTCCAGTGCAGTTATGTGGACATCCCCCGTGGACAGCAAAAGCCATGTTTGTCACTCTTATACGTCCCATCATTACAGAAGGGCTGTAAGTCAGGCAATCTCTTCTTGTTTCACAGAAATGAGTCCTTCCCCGTGTAGAGAACTATGTATAAACCTGCACAATTTATTACTGTGAGAAAAAGAAAAAACACCTGGCTGAGAGTGATCTGTTGGCCCATAATGCACAAAACAAAAACCCTCCAACGAACTGGAAATGCCACAGATGGTATCACCGTAAACAAAATTACTCCTCATTCTCTAGAAGTACCTAAAAGTTTGTTGTGAGGTGGGGGTCAGTTTCTTCTAGACTGCCTGCTGTGACGGAAATGGCGTTAAGGTGAGACAGAGTAGCTTCAAATTAGATATTAGAATAATTTTTTTTCAATGTTTAGGTGGTCAAGCATTGTAATAGGTTGCCCGGGAATGTGGTAGAGTCACCATTCCTGGAGATGCCAAAGGGGTGTCTGTAACTGGCGCTGGGTGATATGGTTTAGGGGCAATGCCAGGTGATAGTTGGACTTTATGATTTTAAAGGTCACTTCCAATTTTGATGATTATATGATTCTCTTTGATGAGTCTGGCCCTTGGACTGACAGTCCACGTCACCGTATCTTCCCTTTGGTGATGTTTTTTCCCCTATACTGAGACACTCGGTTTGGTATCCTCGCGTGTGCCCATCCGCCACTAAAGGAAGCGTCCAGGCCCGGTACCCTCAGACCAGGCCCGCGCTCTTCCTGGGCGAGAGCAGCGCTTTAGCTTCGTCATCCGCACGGCGGCGAACGCAGCAAACCCCATCGCTGCGGGGCTCCCGCCTTGCTCCGTGCCCAGGCGCTCCCGGGACGGCCGTGCCCGTGGGAGCGCCGCTCCTTCCCAGGCGCCGGGCGGGCCGAGCCCCGCTCAGCCCCAGGGCGCGGGGCGGCCGCTGACCCCTCCGCGGCGCTGACAGACAGCTGACGCGCGGAAGAACACCGCGCCGCCGCGTCAGCGGGCGGGCCTAGATCCGGCCGCTGCCGCCATTTCGCGGGCAGGCGGGCGGGGCGGGACCCGCCGTCAGCGGTGCGCGCCCGCCGCCGAGCCCCGGGGGCCGCCGAGCTCCGGAGCCGCCGCAACCCCCAGGAGCCGCGATCAGGAAGAGCCGCACGACAGTCCTGAGGCGGCGGCGCCCGCGGGCAGCCCCAGAACCTTCCTTCCCCTGCCCTGCCCCGCCCGTTCGCCCTTGGCCCCGCCCCTCGGCCCCGCCCCCGGGAGCCGTTGGCGGCGCGTACCGGGCCCGGCCCCGCCTCCCTCCCTCCCGCGGCGTCCGGGCCTGGCCAGCGGCGGCAGCGCGGGGCTCTCTCGCCCTTCCTCTGTCGCTCTTCCCTGGGCGGGCGACGCCTCTCGGCTCTCCCGGCACTTCGCACCCTCTCCCGGCCGTGACGGGCGGCGGCGGGCGGAGCGCTCCCCCGGCAGCCTCACGGCCCCGCTGCCCGCAGGCAGGCAGGACTTCGGCCGGCCGGCCGGTCGGGCGCCCCCCCCGGCTGTTTCCGGAGGAAGGAGAAGAGCAGCTGCCCCCTCCCCCCTCTCCGCCTTCCTCCCCGTTCTCCTCCTCCTCCTCCTCCTTCTCCTCCTCCTCCTCCCTCCCGGCCCCCCGAGCGGAGCGCGGAGTCACCGCGGCGCGTAGACGGGCCCGGCACTCGCACACACACAATGGCGCTGAAACGCATCAACAAGGTGAGTGAGCACCGCGGCTCCTCCTCCTCCACCGTACCCCCCTCCCCCTTCACCTCTTCGCCCTTCTTTTTATTGTTATTTTTTGGATGTTTTTTCTTCCCCTTCCCCCATCGCCTTCCTCCCCCCCTCCCCCCTAGAGGAGACGGGCGGGGGGGGAGAGGCGGAGGCTGAAGAGGCCGGGAAGCGGCGGCTCCTTCCGGCGGGGCAGCGGCCCGGCTGGGGCTGTGAGGCCGCTCACTCCGGGCCTGAGCTCGGAGCTCGGCCCCGGCCTCTTCCTGAGGGCGGGGGCCGGGTGGGGGGGTTGGAGAGAGGCAGCTCCCGGGGCCGCTCGGATGTCAGCACAGCCCGGGGTCGCTGCCGCTGCCCTTCCGCCGAAGCCGGCCCGGATGGCGCCGGCTCGTTGTGTGCCGAGGGGTTTCGGCGCGATGGAGGCGCTGCCCGGGGCAGCAGCCGGGCCCCTCGGCCGGGTTCTCCCCTCTGCTGTGCAACTTCTCTCCCGCATTGTAAGATGGCGGCGGGTCCGCCTGGCCCGGGCGCTTTCCGGGATCCCTCGCGCTCCGCAATAACGCGGCACGGACACACGGAGCAGCCACCGCGGCGCTGCCCTCGCTCCGCAGTCGCCCCTCTCCGCCGCCCCGGGGACCTCCGGGCACCCGGGAGTCCATCGCCCGTCCGGGAATAGCTTCCCCCCGCGCCCCGGCGGGAGCGCGCTGCGCGCCGCCGCCTCCCCCCCGTTGCACAATCGGAGCCGGGTGGAGCAACTTCGCGGCGGCTAACTCGGAAAAAATGCCGAGGTGATGATTGTTTGTTGGTTTGGTGTTTTTTTTTCTTTCTTTTTTTTTTTTTTAATTTTTCTCTTTTTTCCTTTTTTAAAATTTTTTTTTAATTTTCTTTTTTTTTTCTTGTGGCCGTGGTTGTTTTCTATTAAACCGCTCCCAGGGTAAGAAGGCGCCCGGCGTGAAGTTGCCCCTGAGTAGGTTTGGGTTTTCTCGGCAGGTTTGAGAATTGCTGGGATGTAATGGCAAAACGCGATGGGGAGCGCAGCGGCGTAACCGGGAAGTCGCTGTTGGTCTGTGCTCCTTCTCAGGCGAGCTACGTGGAGCATTTACGTGTTTCAAGAGCTCTGAGGAGTTTCTTGGTCATCTCATAGCCTGCCAAGATGACAGAACGTCAGTGTGTCCTGAAATCGGTGAATCTCAGTGCACAAAACACCTTTTGTAGACAGTGTGTAAACTTCATGCCGCCCGTTAGTCTCGCTTTAATTTCACACAGTGCCTGTGGTCATATTTTAGACAAAAAAAGCGTTTTTTATAATGTTTTTAGTGAATGGATAGTACTGTTGTTCTCGAAAATTTTAAATCCGTTCTGGATAGCTGAATGGGTTGCCTGAATTATGGTTGTGCTCTGGCAAGAATTTCAAAACAATTCCTTTTGAATCTGCCATCAAAACTTGTTCTCAGTGTTAGTGGATGATATCACTTGAGTTGAAACACAGCTAGGATACTCCCTGGTATGCTTTGTCATCAGCTCATGCTTATGAAACACGTTCGGGCGCTGCAGGTAAGAATTTATTGTCAAATGTAAACCAAGACAAACCCCCACTTATGTAGTAATCTCGTGGTCAGAACCTGGAAACGATTCAGCGTGACTCTTGAACCAGTAAGTCATCTCTGACTTCAGCGTCTTGGCCTGTTGTGTACAGGCTTGTGTTGTACTGGTCCTTAGCTCTTTTCCGCTGTGTAAGTAGCAAGGTTCTTCCTTTATCTGGTGCAAGAGTTTAGGATTGGGAAGATAGTTGGGTTAGGGTTTTTTCTTTTTGCCTTTTTTTTTTTAATGTGTGTTTGTTTGGGTTTTTTTTACCAGTTTAATCACACCACACTACAAGATACACTTCTAAATTTACATGGAGTTTGTAGTTTTGATTTTTCTATTTGCAAGCCTGGAAGGTGAACTTTCTTCATGAAATGAAACCGTTCTTTGGGCATTGCTTTCTTTACTGGTTTCCAGTACAAATGTTTACAGGGGCTGATGCTGACAAAAAAACAGCAGGGCCAGTTCTGTAATGAAATGGTTGTGAATGTAATTTTAATCCTGTCAACCAGTAAAGCCCAGGGAGAAGGCATTGTCACTGATAAGCTGGAATTCCCTGTCTTCCTACTGTAAGATCACAGATCAGACCTTGGAACTCTGCTTCCTTGTAGTTTGTCTTTGGCAGTAGATGAGAACAGGCTAAAGAGAACCCAGGACTTCAGAACATTGTAATCACCACAGCCGATTTAGTTTGTGTTACTACTTGTCAGGACTAGAATTCATTGTCTCCTGCAGCAGATGACATCCTGAATGTACCAGTGAAGATATTTTCAGTCTGTTTGGTTTACTCCCTCTTTGTGGAGTTGACGTATCAAGCAAAATAACATTCTTCATTATGTTGAGTAAACTAGACTTTGAGACTCTGTTAGTGTGTGTGTGTGTGTCTTTAATTTGAAGTCTGTTACACATTCAGAATGCAACCACTCTTAAGACATAACTGGCAAATTCTACTTCTGATTTGAAAACGAAAGTAAATGAGTATTTATTTGTAAATGAGTATTTATGAGTGTTGGGTTGTCTGCTTCTGGAACACCCTGTATAAAGCACTCCCCAAAGTGAAGTAGTTGTCAGGTACACAGCCAATCCCAGAAAGATTATTGTTATGCTGGAGTTTGTCATGGCATCGGTGCCATCTGCTCTGGGGGCAGCTTTGTTCAGTTGGCAAAACTCTGGCCTTGATGTGGCTTGCTTTGCAGTTGTTTTATGATAAAAAGCAGGTTCTTTTCCCGAAACTCTGGCCTTGATGTGGCTTGCTTTGCAGTATGATAAAAAGCAGGTTCTTTTCCCATAAAATTATGTGCTTTCTTTCCTGAGGATGAAATTTTTCCCTTTTTTCCCCCCAGAATTATCAAGAAATTCACATTGATTTATGAGCATGTATCTAAATGCTTGGTGCATGCTGTGGCACATTGTCGTGGTCTGAAGTGTCTATGGTGCCTGCTAAAAACGCATCCTGTAATTGCTGCAGCGTGCTGGAGCTTCCGCTTCAAATGATGATGATCCAGTAGCAGGGTAGCATTTATGTAGGAGCAGGGAATCAGGAATGCATAAAATTTGGAAAACTTGGAAATGTTGCATCATTGGTACACATCCATTTTATCATTGCTGTACGCATCCATTAAAGTGAGGTAATGTAAGTGGCCTAAGTGATCTTGATAGGCTAAAAATAGAATTAATACAGGAGATGTGTGCATGAAATGTCTCATCTGTATAATCCTTAAGAAAGCTTGTGCCTGCTGTGTTTTATGGCCATTTGATTAAGCACAGCACAAGCCAGCATCATTATATTGGAATAATTTATTAGAAAATCTTAAGTGGAGTTGGCATCCTGGAAGCTAAAGGCTGAAGGTGGCAAAACCATTTATTGCTATTTAAGTACAGATAGAAGGCTTCCATTGACACTGGTGGAGTGGAGACCGAATTAACTATTTTCCTGAGGCTACAGCCTCCAGCACTGTTCCTAGATGTATAATTAATTGCAGCTTTAACACCCCCTTCTCCAGATGCTCATAGTAAGAAATGCTCCTAACCCTGGAAATAAAGTATTTTCCAGAGATGAGGTGTAATGTGCCTCAGTGAGGACTGCATGGAAATCTGCATTAGTTTAACCAAAGTCGAAGAATTGGAAAGCCTGCTTATTACTTTATTTTTCTGCTGCTACTTTTTTCTTTTGAACTTGGTTTGAATTAAAAAAAAAACAATCTATGATAAAGCTGATTGGAATTAAGCTTTCCTCTCTGGATGAAACCCACAACACTTTTGCGGGCAGTCTTGGATTTTGTTTACTGGGCTTTCTCGAAGTTAGATGATTGATCTCATGCTTTGAATGAATGTGTAGAAATAAGTCTGGATTTGTGTGTTTAGGGGCTCAGAAAGTGAAGATTAGCTAGCTAATGAAATTCAGTTGATGTAAGCTTAGTTGAAATGCTTTAAACCTTTGTAAATGCTCTCTCTATGTATTGAATTACCTTTTTTACTGTAATTTCACTTAACTGTTGTGACTATCCAGGGCTAGACTAAGGCCCTGCCTTGAGAGGATAATTCAGCACAACTATCACACTCAGTGGTAAGAAGGTCACATTGAGCCAGAAGGCAGTGGTTGGTTTTTAAATCATGATAGTGCAGTAATGGAGTTCGGGAGGCCCTAGTATTGAAGAACTCAAATGTTTTCTAAGGTCAGAATAAAATATTTAGCATTTGATGAAAGCTGTCATCACTTAAATTCTGTTTAAGATTTAGCTTATCCAAAAAGAAGTGATAGTTCTGCTAATGAAATGAATATCATTAAAATGAAAATAATGTTTCTTAATTGGGTATGTTTGGTACGCTGTATTGAAGGCCAGAATTTTTTAATAAAGTATTGGATGTGTTGTAAGAACTGGTCATTTTTTTATGAAAGAGGAAAACCAAGGCTTCCTTAGCTAGGAAGTTTGGACTGCGATAACTTAAAGATTTCTCTTGTTAATTGAACACAGTGCTTGTGAAACAAGTTTCCAGTCAGCACAGAACTTTAACTGCGTGCATTGGAGTGGGGAGAGAATGGGGATTGTTATCTCACTTAAGTGATTTACAAACTTCAGAGATCAATATTCCATTAGATGGGTACTAAAAAGAGTCCTCCAGTATACAAGGATTTAGGTGAGATCATGTATACAGAGTAAAAAGGGTAGCCAGCTCTTAGGATCTTTATGATCATTTCAGCTTTTAGAGGTCTGGTTTTGAAAATAAATGTGCTTTTGCTGTTATTCCTAGTGTGGGTTTCTTCTACAGAAGGCTTGATGTGGAACTCTACAGAACAAGCTCCCTTTGACTTCCTGCCCAGTCTGTAACCAGTCCTGAGGCTTTTCTCTGAGCTCACAAATAATGGGTAAGGGAGTGGAGAAGGATGGAAACAGCTGTAAGCAGCAGCTGTTGGGTACTGAGCAGTGAATTGCCTCTCGCCAAAGGCATCTCTCTGTAACTTGTGGAGCCCTGTTCCAGCCTGGTGTTATGCCCTCCCTACCTGTGGATGTGTTCTGTGCATCCACTGGGTTGAACTGTTGGAGGAGAGAGAGGATGGAGGTTCTTAACCTTCTCTTGAGATGTCAAGTGACGGCTGGTAAGGGGGAGTGGGAAAGGGTTGAGCTTTTGTGTCATTCGGATCAGGGCATTGATACATCATCCCTGATGAGTCTTTCTGTTGCAAATATGAAGGTTTTGCCAGTTTGACTGTCTGCCCTGTGCTCTTGTGTAGGACCCTCCTCTGTGCATCAGTGCTGGCAGATGGGAACTTGTGGTGTGCACTTCGGCCTTAGGTCTGATCTCTCAGAATAACTTCTATTGATGGTTTTAGGCTGAGATGCTGTAGCTTATATTGGAAGGGCTGAGTTACAAGCCCAATTCTTTCCTGTGATTGATTCAATGTAGTAACCCGACAGTAGAATATGCAGAAAAAAAAAATAAAGCAGCACTGTGAATGTGTATCTGTGTATATATATAACTGCAGTCAGTAGTGCATTTTTAAATGTGGTTGCTTTTTGCCAAGTTGATGTTAAAGTCTTAAATTGTGTAGAGTTGCACCTGGTTGATAAAGTTCTGTAAACTTTGGAATATAAATTTAATGTCTTCAACTCTACATGAAAAATGCAGGAGATTTTAAAAAAAAAAACCCAATGAAACCAGTTTCTCTTCACCGGTCTTCTGTAGGGCACGGATCTGATTAAATTTGGTAGTTGTGTTGGGGAAGCTTTGCAAAAAAAAATAGTTAAAATTACATTCACAAGTTTAAATTGGTGTTTATGCCTTTAGTTTATGCCTTTGTAAAACACATGGATGTAGACAAAGTTTAATACTGGAAAGTAGAGCATCTCAGGATTCAGGACTGAAAGCTAAATAGATAGGGAAATTTTAACCAACAGTAAACTTCAGTATTATATTTTTTGTGTAAAGGAAGCCTTTGTTCTGAACATCATCCCTTTGAGATATGTGATACACTAGACATCTTCAAGATCTCCTGCAGTTTTTTCCATTGTAATTGTGATAGGTTTTTATTATGGTCTTAAGAAAGCAAGATGAGAGGATTGTGGACTGCTCTGCAAATGTTACAGCCCAGCAGATAGA